TAAGTCCCCCACAAAAACAAAAGAAGACTCAGAAGGATGTCGACTCTTCTGAGAAAAAGAAAGGGAAGAAGAGACCCGCAGAAGAAGAAGGTCCAAGCAGTCCTCTGCAAAAGCCGAAAAAGAAGAAATCGAAGAAGGCCCAACCCGCAGAGGTTGAGGTCACAGAGGCTGCAATCCAAGAAAGCCCAGCAGATACGGCTCCTAAGCGCAGAAGGTTGCGCAAGACTGTTCAAGTAGAGTGCCCAACAGAGCAAATTCACAATGTAATCTTCAACCTCGAACAAGGGTTTAAAGCGCCCACAGAGGTGGCAGATTTGGGGACAGAAGTCGTTCTAGACAACGAAGAAAAAGAATTGGAGTTAGATGAGGGCGAAAAAGATGCCGAAATCACATATCCAAGCCCCCCTCCTAGTGCAACCCACATTTCTAGGGACCCTGTTCTAGAGGAAACCCCTATTGAAAAAAGCGTGCACACGCTGATCCCAACCCAAACCTACCTCGCAGAGGACATTCTTTCGTCCTGTGTCGAATGCACAGTCCGGGAACCACAATCTACTCCAACATCCTCTCAAAAGGATGTTGGTTTTACAATAAGAGTCCATTCGTCCAAGGACTCGTCACAACCCAGAGAGGAATCCGTCGCCCCTCCACACTTGAGTGAACAACCAAGTTATGCTTCAGAGACATACGAGAGATTCACAGAGACTGCGGGTCTAGAACGCCCAAAGTTTCCACTCAATCCCTCTGCCGAGTTAGGCTCTGAACCTACTACGCACGACATCGACAGAACACTGGTAGGCTCTCCAATTAGAGATGTTCGAGGATCCGATGGAAGTCCCCGAGCTGACATCGACAAACCCGTCACTGAGGGTGCCTTACACTCCGAGGCTACTAGGTCACCATGTGTTGGTGATTTAGGTTCCCCGAGTACTTATGTGACGAAGGGGGAGTTGACTTCCACAACTTCTGAGCTCAAGGCGACTGTATCAGCCCTTCAAAGCTCTGTCCTCAACAAAAACGATCTCACAGAAGCTTTCAGCGCCCTGTCTCTCAACCCTTCTTCAATCCAAAAGCTCAAGATAGAATTAACGGAGGTTGCCGCCCAATTTGCTGCAGACTTCATTTCCGCCGGCTACACCTATTATTCTGCCTTCAAGGATGAGATCAAAGGGATGTTCTCCTCTGCGGTCACCTATGGCATTGATTCTAAATCCTCCAAGGCTAACATTAACCATCTAGCCACTCGAAGATAGCTAGACGCAATGGTTGAAGCCCTTGGAGAGACCGTGCGGAAATACACCAACCAACTTCTCAAGGAAGCTCGAGCAAGTAACAAATCTATAAGAGACTGCATGAAGCAACTCGTCAAAGAAGGTGACAACTTCAGAAATGAGATCTATCGCTGCGTCTCTAAAATGAAATGGGCCACATAGATGGACATCAACAATGCCTCTGTGAATGCTGAGATGGTCATAGAAAAAATGGAGAAGGCGACTTCGAAAGTTCTTAGGTGATTGAAGAAGGCTCCCCTTACTACTTGCAAGACAGAGGCCACTAAAATCCATCACGATCAAGGAGGTGATGACCATGATCGTCATGAGGGGGAGAAGAAGACAGAAGAAACCGAAGAAGACAACCTCTGCCAAACCACTAAAAATAGTGGACTCTGCTGCTGCCCTATTCTCAAAAGACAAATCTCTAGAGCTTAAGGGAAAAGGCAAGGGTAAAGCAGTAGAGGAGTCGCCACAGAAGGGGTCAAGCTCTGAAACACCAGAAGAGATCAATGAAGAAGAGTATGATGACCCGGATCTTGTTCGAGCACTAAAGGCTTCTTTGGCTGAGGCAAAGGTGAGAAAGGGCAGAACCCCCATCCCTAGAGTTGGAGAAGGCTCTTCTTCCAAACTCACGAAGATACCAGAAGAAACGTCCACGGGTACGTTTGACGCTCTGGTAGGAACTGTCAAGCCTATCCTACCAGAGGGGTCTACTCAGAGACCTATACTAGAAGAAGAATCTAGAACACCAGAATCTACCACGGTGGGGAGGGTATCTGTGATCCTTGAATCTATGAGCAATATTCCTACGCAGAAGGTGCGTACAGAGCCTGTAACCACTGTTGAAGAGATTCTGCGGTGGCGTTACTCAGCCATGGACACAGAGCCCCCTTATGACCAGAGCTTATTGGAATGCCATCTGCCATTGCAAAGTTCCACTTCTCAAAACTCACAAGGCGACCAGTGCAGGTCTTCTCAGAGCATGTGATCACTTCTCTCGAAACCATTTCTCCGCGTACTATGCTAAAGAAGACCATGCTATACATTCAGTATGTGGTAAAAAGGGATGACGGCAACCTATATACTTTCACAGATGCTGACCTCCACAGCCTCTGTGTATTTGATCAAATATTCCTTCACAAGATCTTGAACAAATACATGGAGAGGAGGTCAATATATTCGATTTCTCTCAGAAGGCTGATTGAGGTAACGCACGCTCAAGTCAAATTCTACAGCCAGAAAGATTTCGACATCGTTATGAGGTTGGCCCAGCCAGATCTAAAAATTTCTCCTCCAAAGAACATACCAAGTTGGCTGCTTAGATTTCATCCCAACACCATTGTCCACAATCCCATCTTTGGGTTTGTGTTCCTGGACAAAGATGAGATTCTAAGGTTCTTCGATCCCAAAGAGACGAACAAATACTCCACAGAGTCTCTCGAGTGGGTGTTCAACTTAGTGGTGACAGAGGTGCAGAGAGGGCATATAAGGGCGGATGAAGTGACCAACCTTCTGGAAACGATCAAGGTTCAAGTCTCCTTTAGAGAATGGATATTCAAAGTCTATAAAACCATCAAGTCTGATTTGCAATTTGTCGTAGATGACTATCCAGACTCTGTTGTGGATTAATCTCTTGTAATAGTATAGGCCTGCTTTATATTTTCAATTCGTTCATTTATGTAATTCTTTTTCAGAGGATGAGTTTAATCTTCACTTGTATTCTTTCATTAGTCCCATTTGTCCAAATTTACTTTTTCATACTTTGGGGAGATTGTTAGCTTTATTATTCATCTCTTGTAAAAGTATAGAAAAAGTATTCTGCAAGTCTTGA